GTTCTTCGTTTGCATGATTGGCCAATCTCTCTTCCTCCAGACGTTGTTCTTCGTTTGCATGATTGGCCAATCTCTCTTCCTCCAGACGTTGTTCTTCGTTTGCATGATTGGCCAATCTCTCTTCCTCCAGACGTTGTTCTTCGTTTGCATGATTGGCCAATCTCTCTTCCTCCAGACGTTGTTCTTCGTTTGCATGATTGGCCAATCTCTCTTCCTCCAGACGTTGTTCTTCATTTGCGTGATTGGCTAATCTCTCTTCCTCCAGGCGTTGTTCTTCGTTTGCATGATTGGCCAATCTCTCTTCCTCCAGGCGTTGTGTTTCGTTTTGATGATGGTCTAATCTCTGCTCCTGCATTTTCCTAGACTCTTGAGCATTGTCCTCTTCTCGTTTTCTTCTCAAACTTTCACGCACTTCTAAATCGTTGCTTTTTCTTGCTCTAAAAAAAAATTAAATAGATTCATCAGTTCATAATCAGAACTAATATAAATAAATATATTTATTATTTAAGAATTAGATTCTAAGGAGAAGCATTATCAGTGCTAGAAAATGAAAAGCAGGAGGTTAGCTCACACTTTTAATAATTTTTCGATTCATCTGCAGTTAGTTTGGCTTTTTGGGCACTGATAAAAACCAAATTAAATTAAAGTCATGGCAAAAGAATTCCCTCCCTTCTGCCTAAGAAATTGAAACCATTTTAGGGCAGAGAAACCATAAAGATACAGGCCTTTTTGGAATAGGATTGTGCATGCATTATGGTCTACAAGCACATTTTGTTCAAATATAGTGTTTGTACTGAAGCTAGATCGCAATGCACCATGATTTTACAATTCAGCAAGTGGCAGACTTAATTGAAATACTTAAGCTATATTTTTTTCTGTTTATCCACTGCAATATTATCTAACTTATAATTAATATAAATCCTAATTTTATAATAAATGATAGCGAAAACATAACTAGACGACGTTTCGGTGTTGACTTACACCATTTACAAGTCAGTTTGTGTTGCAAGTATGGTGAAGAAAATAAGTGAATTTACATAAGAATGTTCATAGAAGAAGTTGTATTGTCAAGGGACTTTTTAAGACAAGTATAAATCGATTCATATAGTATACCTATCCAGCTTGTCTCGGCACTCCATGTCATGCCTTTGTCTTTTTTCCTCGTTTTCTGCACGTTTTCGAATATCTTCATTTTCTGTTTCCTTTGCCAGTTGTAATGCAAGATGATTTGTCATCGTAGCAACCTATAAAGTAATTTCAAAATATATAATTTGTATTGACTAAAAATTAATGATCAGGAATTTAAGATTTGTTAACAATCATTAATTGTTAACTCCAGTCCTGGCCAGACTTTCAATTTGACTCCCTAAAGGACTAGGAGGATCCAGTATCACTTGCATGTGGCTCAATATAACTATAAAAAATGAGCAGCAGTGTGTTATCAAGGATAAACTAAGGTTTTTGATCCTAAATAAAACAAGTACTGCAAGGTTTTTATATACTTACAGTAAAAATACATTACCACTGATTTTAGCTCAGATGTTAATTTTTTTTTGTTTTAAATTTTTTGAAAACGTGAGTTATCATAAAATCTGGTCATCTGATCATGAGCAAATGATTTTACAAAACTCATTTGTTATCCTCACTGAATGCATATATTATTAAAAGTATTAATAAATTCCAGCTTTGTCACTTGAATTGCTTGGTTCCTTGCATGGTTCAGTGAATGAGAGATTAAAAGTGAGACCCTTAATAGTCAGTAGTTTTCTGCAACTATCTAATATATCAAAAGGTAAAAGTTCAAGCTAGGTTTCTCTATATATTGGGAATAAAAAAGGTATTTTACAACATAATTTGCTTTCATAAGTTTATATATAATTAATTAATTAATAAAAAAAAGTTATGATAAACAGAATATAACATGGTCACTTGAAGATACAAATTTTATCTTCTCATGTTGAAAATTTCTCTCACTTGTTCGCTCTGCTCACTTGTGAGAGATCTTTTGAACATTTGGAGATGAAACCCGTATCTCTGTGCGTCCATGTAATATCATCTATTTCCCTCAGTTATTTTCTTGTCCATTATTCAAACCCATTTATTTATGTCTACGTGTTAGAGAAGATACATATTATTAGAAATTACAGAAAACTTAAAAATACAATCTTGGACATAAATGTTGACAATTTTTACGCACGCACGAAATTTCTAACATTCTTCGTCGATAAAACTTTACTCGTGCCCCCCCCCCCTTCCCCCGATACAATATTGTGTGGCTTTCTTTTCATTGGTTGTCCATTCATTAACCCCTGCATGCAACATTGAGAGTAGTAGCAGTAGTAGTGTTTAATTCATGTGATAATGGTACATATCATAAGTTATAATTTATTTAGTAATAGTTAATACAGTAAATGCTCATTCATAATGACCTATTAATACATGTGTTGAATCATGAAATGAGAAGTGTTTATTTTTGGCTTGACCATGCTCAGATGCCTCAAGTTGTACTTCTCTGATTTCTTCTTTAGCAAGTATTTATGTAAAGGATGGTTGCTGGACAATTTTGATTTTTGATTGATGCAGGAGGGAGGGGCAATATTTTCAGACTTGATACAGTATTTGTAATGCTCATGTAAAGAAGTAAGAGTTGGTTACCGAGAACGGAGGGAGGTATTATGCTATATACAGCCTGAGGGCCGCAGTTTCCAATTCATGTGGTTTTTGCAAAAACTGAATAGACTTCATGAATGTTTTCTTAGTTGTGATTCGAACTTGCAATAGAATCCTCTCCTTGAGACTTTTTCATGGACTGTTGAAATTAGTTTCCTTTAAGAAAACCTGTTCATGCGAAAGCGAGCAATCGAAATTGTTATCAAATACTCTAACAGGCATGGAAATGATGTTGAACGCAATGACAATGATTTGATTATAGCTCTAAATATGTTTATCAGTATTCCTTTGCCAAACTTTGATATTGACAATTTGCTATGGGATTTGGAACTCTGTATACCTATGCCCGCAGATAACGATGACAGTTATTCAGAAGAGAAAAATTACAATAGTTTTTGATGTTGAACTCTCTCAAAGAAACGAGGGAAGGATTCAAGAAAGAAAAAAATAAAGTGCCAAATGGTGTGTACGTGCTTGGATAGAATGGGCTGAGGAGCAGAGAAATATGGAGTGACACTATTTCTTCTGATTTATACACGTTGGTATATGACACATATTGACTCGTTATTTTGTCTCATAAGAAAAGCTGCTGCGGACTCAAACTTTTTAGGCTGCCAATCTCAAGTTTTGCTAGTCAAAGGGAAAAAAAATTAGTTTAGTTTGCTTGTATAGTTTATTTAATGTTCAACAGGGATCAGTCATATACAGGCCGCTGAATTGATAACCAGCTATTCAATTCAATTCATCAACCCCAATCCCTCCCTGGCTTTAATTTTCAATCGGTCTCTATCATATATACAACCCTATGAATAACAAAGAAAACCTAGTAAGTTGGGAACTAATTGTATTTACATCCAAGAGGTAGAACTAGATAACTTCAGGAGCCCTGAGTAGGTGTTGATACCTGTTCTGCACGTTTGGAACTCAATAGCTGATTTGCATTATGGCGTCATTTACTACAAATACCTGCAGAATGCTTTGCCAACTTTCTTTTGTAATGCAATTAGTGCCAATATTGTTTTATTAATCTCCAAGTGAATTAAAAATCTGAATAACAATGAAAATGTGCAAGGCTCTCTGGTAGTTGTAGTAAAGTTACGCCATCATGCAATTGGCCTATTTGTACCTGTCGATGACTAGAGATGTCTTCTTGTCCATCCATAGGAAGGTGCTGATCCTACGAGAGAGAGTTGATATATTAATGGACAAAATCTAGTTGTTGTAAATCTCCATATAACTGGGATTTGTAATTATTCATTCATGGGTCAATAGTCTCCTTCACGGTTACCTGCGCCATCTTGAAAGGTAGCCGTGCCTTGTCATCGAAGCGAGACAACCGTTGAGCGTGCAATGATAGAAACCTTCTTTCACACCTATAGACAATTATTCACAGGTATCTATCATTGCACGCTCAACGGTCGTCTCGCTTCGATGCAAAGGCACGGCTACCTTTCAAGATGGCGCAGGTATCCGTGAAGGAGACTATTGCAAGAGTGGTGGATAAAGTTGTCAACTCCACAGCTTTTGCATGGGATGGATTTATCTGGTGGACAGCATAAATTTTAGAAAACTAGACCAATACTAGGGTATTCATAGAACTTGTAATTTAAGTAATGTTCCAAGTAAGAAGTAGGGAAGCGAACAGCAATGGAATGCAAGGAGATGCTAATTGTGTATTGTATTATCCAACCATCTCATTGGTTTAAACATTAAAATCTGACATAATTTCACAAGTTAGCACATTTTTTAATATTTTATTTAATATCTGATTCTAACTTCATAAAAGCTTTCCTTAGCTTTAATATTAATAGCAATTCTATGTGGGGAACATAGCAAATTAGAAGCATCTTTTGGTAATTGTTTTTGAATGCTTATGATTGGACAAGATCTTTTAATACAAAAGAAACTTTGTTTCAAAACAGAGTTTATCCACATTTTATTTTAAAAATGTGTTACCCATAGGTTGATATATAATCATTGTGAAAACCAAGACATTTGTACATGGGGAAGTTGCAATTGCCAAAGAACAATAGCGAGTTCCCTAGTTCTTGCAGACATTGTTAATGAATTTGATGCAATGATCAATCTTTATAACTGAATAGCATGAAAATAAAATTTCAATGATCTAACTAAATAAATGATTATTATTTTCTTTCTTCCTAGCAGTTGTTAAGTGATACAGTGTAGTATAAGTATAGATACCTGGATAGGTGGTGGAACCACATGCTGAAAAGAAAAGAAACAAGTAAGTTTTTATTTTTTGGATTATGTTAATTTGGATGATAATGTGCAAAGTTCATAACTCGTTTTATTTTTACTTTTATGGCTTTTGTTTGTCCTTTTTTAATATGATCTCTGGCATTTTTGATTGTTGATAAGTCTGAATACATGCCAGAGAAAGGCTACTGTATTCACTCATGTGCAAGCTACACTCCTAGATAAGCCCCACTCCACCCAGGAACGATCTTGAAAAGACGGTTTTTGACTTATGCAAATTAGCTTGATTTCCTGGACTTTTACAATTTCTAAACAAGGCCCGGACAAACCATATATGTTATTTTAATGAGTGGAATTATTTCACAGCACCTCAGCCATTTTAAGTTTATATTCACTTTTTTCAATTTCAAAAAAAATTCTTGCTTTGTTCACTTACCTCGTCCACTTGATTTTGAGCTCGTTCTTCATTATTCTATGGCATAAATTATCAAGGGTTTTATTTTGGAGTCAGTCTCTAGTTTTAAGTTCTGTTTTGGGCCGGATTTAATCAATATTTTAATCATTCTCTTCGTCTTAAGCTACGCTAACTTAGATTTAATCAATTTCCAATTTTCAACTATTTTCGTAACAAGTTCGTAACATTGATGAATAGTTTGTCTGTCTACGGTCGAATAAAGACGATAATCTAAGTTTAATATTGACATGTAAAAACCAGTGAGACTGCCTTGTCAAGGACCTCAAACTAAGAAGTTATTTACACGACAATTTGCGCATATAAGAATTTTGAAAAACGTTTTTGAGAGTTTCTACTCCGCAAGAAAAGACTGACAAATTCCAACATAGGTATGCAGCTCGACTGACTCGAATGTTGGAGGCCTATTTGTAAAAGAATATAAAATATTTGATTTCCATGCACTGTGTTAACTCACCATATTGATAGGTTCAGTTAGTTCCAATTGCTGAAATCTTTTTTAAAATTTTCAAAATTAATTTCTTGTTCTTGAGCGAATAGGTCGAATATCAATTTCGTACCTAGGCTATATTTGATCTGTGACGCAATTTTATTAACCCCCCCCCCCCCTATACAGCTTCATTGAGGGAGGGCCGGGGGGTGGTCATCTGCCTAGACTAGCCGTTTTGCTATATGCAGGTTATATGTGTTTTTGTCAAATATTACACCGAAGTTATAATAAAATCTGAATCTGAATCTGAATCTAAAGCTATATCGTCATTTAAGAAGGGGAATGGTGGTCATCTAAAGCTATATCGTTATTTAGGGAGGGGAATGGTGGTCATCTAAAGCTATATCGTTATTTAGGGAGGGGAATGGTGGTCATCTAAAGCTATAGCGTTATTTAGGGAGGGGAATGGTGGTCATCTAAAGCTATAGCGTTATTTAAGAAGGGGAATGGTGGTCATCTAAAGCTATAGCGTTATTTAGGGAGGGGAATGGTGGTCATCTAAAGCTATAGCGTTATTTAGGGAGGGGACTGGTCGTATGATCTGATAGCGTCAAACTGGAGGGGGACGTCATTGGAAGGCGGGTGATACAAGTTTTTTTTTGTTTGTTTTTTTTTTGATATATTAGAAGTAGACTGGACGCTCTTAGAGCGTAAAGTCGGGCTAGCTACTTTTGAAAATTGAGAAAATATATTTATATTTACCGGCTGGGAGGTCCGTATACGAAAACACTGCCCGAGGTCTTGACAGTACCGCACCGCGATATTTGTTTCTGACGGCTTGGCGCAACGGCGTCAAAACCCTAGAAATATCGAGCCATGAGTAATATTCTGTCTTTCTCAATTTTCCAAAATAGCTTTAAGAGCGTCTACTCTTTTAATTGATCAAACATTCGAGAAGCTCCAAAACGTTCTACGCGCTCTTCTTCCCCGCGTTCTTTATAAATGATCTTTGCTGTTCAGGGTATTTTTATGTTTTTCAATATCTTTCTTCTTTCAGAGTGACGTAGTTATCATGGGAGACGTGACGACAAATCAGCTAAGGGTTCCAAATCACCACAAATATTGAGCCGAAGCGCAAAATAGGAGTAATCTACGTCACACTCGGCGCATGTAACCTTTTAGGAGTGCAAACCTTGTCCTGCATATATGGATATGGAAAGAAAAGCTGCCTGTTTTGAACTTAAGTTCATTTGCTGTTGTTGTTTTTAGCAAAAATCGTGAGAGTGAAATCATTTAAAGTACCTGCATAGCGAGATCAAAAACATGTTACGACCAAGAGCAACTTCAAGAAACCTACTTAAAAAGGTCTGCAGCGAAGCAAGGGCGGATACAGCTTAAATTTTGTGGGGGTGTGGTTAAATGGGCTTTATTTGTTATAAGCAATGATCATGTTTGTCAATGATTGGAAATAATAAAAACAAAACTGTTAACGTTTTCTGCTCAAAGAGACAGCTACAGCACCGCTTTGCCCCTCCTTCCATTCGCCATTTGCATAAAGAAAAACCTCATCTTGTAAAATTTGTTTTAATAAAGGAAACAGAAAACTGGTTCAAAAGATAGGTGTTGTTTATAGAACGAATCCACAGATGATTTTTCATTCATCTTTATTGTGTTCTGGTTTATTGATACTAACAATTTGTCTCTAAATAGCCGCTATTTGTTAGTATTTAGTTTGATTTTATTTCATGGTTTTCCTGCGTTTGCTCTATGCAACAATTCTTGAACAATTACTGATTGTATGAGTTCGCTATTTGATGCCAAAAAATCCGTCTGTAAGGAAGACCACGAGTACAAACTTGCTATAGAATACAATAACTATATCTTTATTAAAATCTGAATTGGAATCTTATTGAATTTATAAATACCTACTAAGGTAAGGCTATTACATCGATAAATTAATCTAAAAGTAATAATAATATCAATAATGATGATGATAATGATATCAATTGTACAACAAATTGATTTTATATTTCTTCAGGCTGAATATAATATTTTTCAGCTATATATTGTTTCTAAAGCTAT